GCCTAACTCAAACAGGACACAGTATTTTGTTCCAAGACACTGAAAGGTTGGACAACACTTTCAATTACCATGTCAGATTACACAGGGAAGCCATTGAAATTCACAAACATAAACATAATTTCAACAGGAAAGAAGAGAGTTTAAAAATAAATAGGACATAGTTTCCTGTCCTGAAAAACCACAGCCACACATCCCAGAAAATCTACAGCAACAAAATGACCATTTATTTAATTGCATACCACCCACACCATTTCAAGCTTTAAAACATGATCCTTCCAAACAGCTGATTTATTCTTGCACCCCCCATGTCTCTTCTAAGCTAAAATCAGTATCAAATTGTTGTGCAATGTAGTGGTACATCTGTATAACAAATGATACTGTTGTATACTTGTGAGCATGTTAATTTTTCATTTTCATAGTTTAAAGAATTACTCTTAAGGGTGCGTATATGGCTTTCGAAACCGCTATAATAATGGATTGTTAATGTAATACGGTATTTTTTTCTAATTAAGAGTAAACAGAAGTTCTGCAATGACTTACCATTATTCCCAACATAACTCCAAAAATTTCCGAAGTCACCTGAAGTCCAGGAAGAAAGGTTTGGGGGTTGTTTTTAGTGACGGGTCACAGAAAGTCAGCCAACAGAAAAGAAAGTGCAAGCAGATGCCTGAAGTCAGATAGAGCTAATTACAGACCTCCAGAGTTCAAGTCAGGGGTTTTCTTTTTCTACTCATCACACAGGCTGCTTGCATTAAGTGACTGTACTGGGTGGAAGAACCTCGAGAATGTTGCCATACAGCACCCCCAAGTGGCATTCAAGGAAAAAAGAGCCACTGCAGGGCATCTTAGAAGAGCAACACCATACTTCTTTCTCAGGGTTTCCCATGGGAGGGGAGATGCAGTGCAGCCGGAGATCTATCCGGTTTATCACAGACTTCTAATAATAATAATAAACTTTATTGTCATTGTACATAGTACAACGAAATTAAAGGTGCAATCATTTCAGTGATCTACAGCCATACTCATATGCACTCACACAACCATTCACAACCATTCCATAACTCCCTTAAGGTTCACATTGCAACTTAAACCACCAATGTCACCCAAATTCCAATTTCAGACAGCATTTAAAGCAATAATAGCTCTCGAATAAAAACTATTTTTAATCTGTTTGTCCTTGTTTTAATTGTCCTATATCTTCTACCCGAAGGCAGCAGTTCAAACAGGGAGTGTTCAGGGTGTGACAAATCCTGCAAAATGTTCTTTGCTTCTGGGTAGGCAGAGGACAAATTATGACCTAGTGATAAATCCTAAACCAGATCTCCTGAAGCTACTGACCTAAGATCCACAGGAATTGTCGCTGCCCATTGCTCCCAACACAGGATGCAAATAAGATGATCAGGCCCTGAAAGGTACGCACACACACACACACACACACACACACACACACACAAAGCATTTCCTAAGAACCAGTCTGATGAAGAGTTCTGGAGAACTCAAAAGCTCGCACAAGGTTGCATTATTTTGACGGCTCTTGATAGAAGGTAAGGCTTTTTTTTAAGTCAACCTAAACCCACCTTTTTTTTCTTATCAGCTTCTCAATCAAAGCCTTACTCCCAATGTAGCTGGATCAGAATGACCTGCAAGGAAAAGACTAAGCTTTAATCACTCTTTATCCCTCCAATTTTATTTTTAGCAACAATACTTCCACTGTATCAGTGTAGACTTCATTATCCTCATAAAGATCAGAGACCTGATTCAACATCATGTACAGTAGTTTCAAAGAGCTTGTCACCATGGCAATAAGACACAGGCACCAGCAATGACACTAGCACAGATAAAGTGGCTCCCATCCAAATTTCCCTGCATCAGCTAATTTACTTCACTCCTGAGCTGCAGAACTGCTTAGACACCTTTGGAGGATTAAGTCAATACAACTGCACCTTACGAAGTCCAACACTGTTTGAATAAGGAGACTCTCATAATGGTACAAATTACATTAGGAGAGAGAAGAGATTGGATTTATACCCCACCCTTCACTACCCGAATCTCAGAGTGGCTTACAATCTCCTTTCCCTTCCCCTCCCCACAACAGACACCCTGTGGGGTAGGGTGGGGCTGAGAGCTCTTTCCAGGACTGCTCGTGAGAACAGCTCTGAAAGAACTTGTAACTGACCCAAGGTCACACCAGCAGCTTCATGTGGAGGAGTGGGGAATCAAACCTGGTTCTCCCAAATTAGAGCACACTCCTAACCACTACACCAAGTACTTGTTTAAACCACGGCTGAATTAGTTAAGTACACAGCAGTACTTTTTTATAATGCTCCCTATTGCTGGTTTCACATTCACTTTGCAGGACATTATCAGGTGAATCAAGCTAAATCAGCTAGAGGTAGCTGAAGATGACGAGCAGTGACTCATGAAAGCTCATACTCTGCCACACATTTTGTTAAGTCTTTAAGGTGCCACTGGACTCTTTGCTCTTTTCTACTGCTACAGACAGACTAACAGGGCTACCCATCTTGATCTAAGGCTAGATCAGATTTCAATTCTAGGGCAAAACTTAGTCAATACAGGGCTCAAAAGGCACAGGTCCCTGGTGCCTGAGATCTGGAACGATGCATTCAACAGGATCCTACTTCAGCCAAGAGGAAGTTCCTCAAGCCAAAGGAGTCCTCCTTCAACTTTTAAGTAGCTCTTTCACTAAGGCTTCAAGTTTTATTTAGTGGAATTTAAGTAGCTCTTTCACTAAGGCTTCAAAGTTTTAGCTAGTGGAGCAATATGATACAGGGCTGTTCTTAAACCTTTAGCTGATACAAAACTGAGTGGCTGTTTTTGCCACAGGCTGAACTAGCAGGGAACCAAATGCATCATCCTACTATCCATACTGGGGCTAAAGCATCTGCCATAATGTGGGTGCCAGTATGAGACCGCAGATCTTCATTGTAAAGGTACTAAAAACTGGGATTATCTAGCACATTATATGCAAAATGGCACCAAACACTCTTAATAATCATCAAATAGACTATCATCAAATAGTCTATGAAGGCCCTCAGTGAATTTAAGCATGCAGTGGTTAATCCAACGCCTACATGAGTGATACCCTGCCAATGGGACAAGCTCTGTTCCTGCTGGAGTCAACTTTTCCTATGCAACATACCTGTTTGGTCACCCAGGACTGAGCCATCCTGAAGAATCTATAACAGAAGTTTAACTGTGTTACAAATTATTAACTAAAACGTTTCAAAGTTATTTGCAGTTCTATACACCTAATTGGTGGGAACGCTAGCAATACATAAACAAGCCTTCTTTGTGTTATGACAAACCTTTGTTTCATAGCAGCATTGCTCAGTAAAAGCATATTTTTCTAGTAGTTTAGAGAAAAAGGCTGGCACCAAGACATCTCTATACTCAGTGCCAAAAAAACACAGGTATTCTAATGCAGGGTTTCCCAGCCTGGCACCCAAAGGCATCTGTGACACCCCCTGCACTTTTCAGTAGGTGCCTCTTATGAGTGTCCCCATTCAAACAAAAGGGTTTTCCAAGGCTGCAATAGCAGGAACTGGAGGAAGTGCTAAGCCCCCAAGCATGTGGTTCCATTCCCTTTAGGTTTTCCTTCTTTTTACTCCCCTTCCTCCTTCATTCACCTTTATTCCCATTCTGGGAGTTCTTCTGTAAACTGAGGCAAGAAGTACTGTGCTTGGCTTCACCTCTCGCAGAAGACATTTGGGATTTGACTTGGCCTCCTGCAGTAACCATTTTGGGACTGAAGTCACCATATCCCCTCTCAAAATCTCAAAGGTAAGTCCAACAAGCTGCTGCGCTTTAGGGACTGGTTTACTGAGAATAAAATGAGAAAATCTAAAAGGTGCCTGCAGGCTCAATGGGGAACCCCTGTTTTAAAAGTAACACCTACTTTGTGAGTAATGTTATCAGTAACAGTGAGGAGCTATCCTTATGACTGACTCAAAACCCCAATGAGGATGCATCAGATAGGAGCGAAAGACATCAAGTGTTCATCACAGACTGTCTGCTGAACTATGCAGTCATCATGTGCAAAACCTCATTGGCGGGGTCTCCCCTGAAAATATCTTGCAGACATACTTGCCAGGAAAAGCCTGAAAAGATCTCTGGACAGTTAGTATTCAGCCCCCTAGTTCTGGAGCATATGCTGGAAAAAAATACAGCCCTCTCACACGTCATCTCTTTTATAGAACAGCCCCCTAGTTCTGGAGCATATGCTGGGAAAAAATAGAGCCCTCTCACACAACGTCATCTCTTTTATAGTAGTCAGACTTACCAGGAAATCCATCTTTCATAAGGACAAAGCCAGTTGCAAAAGCCTGCAAGAAAACCAGCACAAGTTATAGGTCTGTGTGGAAGTAATCTAAGAGTTAAGGTAACTTTTGGAGAGTTTGCTGTGCCTCAGTTTTTAACAAAGGTGGTTAAGCATTCTCATCACCCTACTGATCAAGAGTAGCAAATAAGTGTCATCATTGTGGCACAATGTAAATCAGCATTTAAAACAAGACTTCCATCTTTTTGAGACAATTCACCCCAGTTTTGGTCTATATATCAATAGTAAGTAACAAAATTACCTTTGCAAATAACATGGTCTTTATCTCCTGAGGCTGCAAAGAAAACAATGAGAAGTTAGGAATCTTTTCCCTGTGCTTTTTGACAGCATTTGGTACTCCCTTTTATTGATTTTACGAAATCACAAGATGACCACACGACATGCAAAAAGGCTTCATGAATTTAACTTTTTTTCAAATAATGCCCTGTATGATCCTTGTCATTTTAAAAAAGTGACTGCCTCAACATGCCTCAATTTGTACTTCTTACTCCACAGGTGTTTAAAAACATTTATCTTCCAGCTTATCTCCTCAGACTCAAGATGGCTGACAATTCAGCAAGCAGATTGCAAGAATGCAGATTATAAAGAGCCCAATCAGCAAGATTAAAACAGGCAAATTAAAAGTGCTTAAAACATAAAGACTAAAATTATTTACTTGGGGAAAAATAATCCAAGGAAAAAAGCCTACAAGTTCGTAAGAAGTTGTTGGGCTCCACTACTCAGAAACTGTCACAGGCTAATTGATCTTACTGCAGGTTTCCCGTAAGCATTTTGCCACAAAAGACAGGAGGTAGAAAAAAATGTGGATTTTATACCACGTTTTTCACTACCCAAAGGCGTTTCAGAGCGGCTTACAATCACCTTCCTTCTCCCCACAACAGACACCCTTGTGAGGTGGGTGGGTCTGAGGGAGTTCTGAAAAAACTGTGACTGGCTCAAGGTCACCCAGCAGGCTTTGTGTGGAGGAGAATGTGGTTCTCCAAATTAGAGCCTGCTGCTCTTTACCACAGCACCATGCTGGCAAGGTGAACTTATCTTCCAGGTCTTTCCCAGAAACCAAGACCAGTAACAAAGATGGCAGAAACAGCTCGAAGTCACAGAATAGCCACAATTACCAGGGCACTTTCACCCCTCCTTTCTAAAATACTCAGTGGACAGATGGGACAGGTCATAGATTTGTTCATCCCCCCCAAAAAACCCCCAATAAATGCTCCCAAAACAGTATGGCAATTTGAACATGAGCTCTCCCCCTTGGCCCAATGAGATCAAAGAAGGATGCCAACTGACTATGCCGAAATAAGCCACAGGATCTCTAGGGTTGGGCATTCATCACTTCGTGGGTTTCAGCTACATTGCCACAGGAATTCTCTTGAAATACTGGACCACACATAGACAACTGAGTATTAAAATGTATGGACCCAGTAACTGTTCCACTTACACAAAAGAGAGGAGTTCTTAAGTTTCCCATTTCACTCCCTCCCCAAAAAGCCCAGCATTAATCAGGGTCATAGAAACAAGATTTAATCCACTCTCCCCAGCAGTAAGCAGACTGGATCCAACCCACCAACTGTGGTATTTTCTGCATTTCAGTTAGGGCAGTTTTTATACTCTATACTGTTTTGAGGACTGTTTTAAGCAGCTCTAAAGGTCTTGCGAGAACACAGAGTCATGACACCCCAATTTGGATTCTGTGCTGCCCACATACATGTAAAGGTACTCATCTGGTAGAGAAACGTCCTGCAGGAAGGCACAGTAGGCCTGGAGCAGAACGGTGAAAGCAGGAGAAACGCTTCTGTACCTACTCCCACACCCTCGTGCCTGCTCAGAGACGTTGGCATTCATCATGCACTCAGATGTCCCTACCAACATCATTTTTCATCATGTGCAGGCATGCAAATCAGCTTAATCAGGTAACCTACAAGAAAGTCCTTTACTGCAATACTCTGGAGTCCAATTAAGTCCTTGGCAAAACACACGAGAGCTTGGTGAAAGCTTTCGTAAACAAATTATTGCCCAATAAAATCACTACACTAGCCCACATCATCAGCATTTAAATAAAATGATAACATGGCTGTAAATTTCATAAATGATGTGTGCATCATTATACAATGGTTATACTGTACCGTGTGCATACAAGCAGGCCCCAGTTATCACTAGACCTTTGTGGTGATCTAAAGTTTTCCGGGTTTTGCATATTCGGCAAACCTCGTGAAACTGCCTTATTTGACCACATTAAGGTGCTCAAAGGACAAACTAAAGCATCAAAGAAGAAATGGAAAAAACGACAAATCTGCAAAGAGCAAACTCAAAACCTATGAGGTTTTAGTCGATACTAAAGAGAAAATATTAATACTATGTTTGCATCTACAAATTAACTTGTCGTTTTAGTAGGTTAAAATAAACCGATGCTTTCTTGACAAAATCAAACCATCTCGAATTCTTAACTTTTTAAAACAGTGGCATGGCTTCTACGGCCCGGTGTGCCTTAGGGTAATCGATGTTCCTTTTATACCAGGCCGTACCTATCTCGATCCTGCTTCTTCTGCTCTCCCCCCCACCGTGTAGCAGCATACAAATGACGAGAAGTTCTATTAAATTCAAAAGCGCGCACACTAGTTTACACTTTTGGTTCATCTATATTTGCAAGAAATAAAATTAGCCGCCGCCCCGCGTTTACATCCCCCGATGTTCTCTAGGTGCCACTCAAAATGAAGGCCCAAAAGAAGGAAGAAAAGCGGGGGGGGGGGGGGAGAACACAATCCGCTTCCATCCTCCCACTTCCAAGGCTCTCCACGACAGACGACACATCCTAAAGACCCCACAACCCCCCTAAGCAATGGCTAAAACCATATTAACGGGAAAACCCCTCGCCAAAGCACGCTTTACCGGTGCAACTCACCAGCCCTAAAGAATAGCCACACTCACCACGACGCTGGCGGAGAAAGGAAGAATGGAAGGGCGGGCCCACCCTTATATAGAGTGCGGGCGCTCACGATCACGTGACGACGGGGCGTGTCATTTGCATTTCCTCTCCCTTTTCCCCGCCCCTGGAATTGGAAAAAAAAACACCCTCTCCTACCGAGGCTTTCCCTCTCACGCAGGCGCAGTGGCCCTGCCTGGCTCGGCCCTGGTCTCCCGATGGCGGGCTCATTCCTATGGGTGTGGCCACCTGACGCGAAGACCGTTTTTGCTACGGCGGGGGAAACACTAGTCAATCAGTGATGGGGGGAATTGGGGGATGTTCTTCCGGGGCGGGGCTCGTTCTGGGGGTTTCGCTTCCGGAAGGGTGTTCGGGCTCGTCCCACCCCCCCAGGAGGTATGTAGTCGGTATATTTCGGTCCCCTCGGGAAAGGCAGAACGGCTTAGAAAGTGGTTAGCGCTGTCCATTCACCCTCTCCTCGCGTGTCAAAATCCTGCCAGGTGGGGTCGGAAGTATCCCCCAGGTGGGGGGGGACTTCCCCCACGCCTCCAGTTTCTAGCCCCACTTTTTCCTGTGGGGCAGGAGGCACTGTTCCCTGAAAGCTCTTTTCTATTCCTGCGCAAAGTGTTTCTCCAAATTCTTAATCCCCCTCAACAATTTTGTCCTCCTTACATAGCCCGCACAAGGCTGTCAATGTTCTTTTTTTTCTCCCCGCCCCGTAAAGAATATGTATGCAAGTTGTCCCTTGTAAAGAACGTCTTTGTGCCCACCCTTGCCTTTCCTCGTTATTTTTTCGAATTTTCCATGGTTTAACACAGTTTTTCTTTTAATACGCCAAGTGTTCATCTAAGTCAGTGTGTTGAGGGGCTTGGAATGTTAGGTATTAGGGAAGGGGCAGGGGGTGAGGGTGTGTGTGTGGCGCTTATTGAAGTGAGGAGACTCTGGAGGAAGGGTGGGACAGGAGAGAGAGAATGTTGGGAGGGGTTTTTAATACTTCTATACAGCCCGGTTTACTTTCAAGTAAACCTCACTGAGTTTAACGAAGCTTGTTGCTATCTGTGTTTCTGCAAGGCTGAAGCCTTAATCCTGTTGGGTCTGCAGTGTTCACGTTGTAGATGAGCTGGAACAAGGTTTTCAAACAGAGAAGCAGGGGAGCAACAGTTGATTACGGACGAGAGTAGATCCAGCAGCTCTTTGGAGAGGCAGCCTGTAAATTCTCTAAATAAATAAAATAGGGGGATGGGATATGATGTTGGGAGTCTGTGGTGTGTGCTTTAAGATTGCTGTAATTGTTTTAAGCTCTGGAATTGGACAGGTTTTAAAAAATCAAGAAGCACTTACAGCCCCTGTGATCTCCATCCTTGGAGCAGCTCTCCAGCAGAAAGTTTCCAGTACAAAGATGTAGCGGTGGTGGAAAAGTGTTGTCAAGTCACAATTCGCAGTTGACTTATAGCAAACCCGTAGAGTTTTCCAGGCAAGAGACAAACAGAAGTGGTTTGCAATTGCTTTTCTCTGTGTAGCAACCCTGGGCTTCCTTGTTGGTCTCCCGTCCAAGCACTAAGGAGAGCTGACCCTGCTTTGTGAGACCTGATGAGATCAGGCTAGCCTGGACCATCCAGGACCAGGCTCGTATGTAGTACTTAATTTAAATCATAGTGGATCCTTGTAGTTTTCTCAATGCTGCACGAAGCAGCAAGAAAAAACTATCTCAGTTTTCCCAAGTCTGATACTTCTGCAGTTTTTAGCAGCATATGCTCAAGACTTCCTACTGTGGGGTTTATGTACACACCCTAACAGGTTTTCCCCACTATGACTATAGATTAGCTCTTTCTTTCTGTACTGGGAATTATGAATGCTGAAAGGGAAGATGGCCTCCCACCCTTGTTTTCACTGTCTTTTCTATGCTGTTAAAATATGTAGAAGTGCAGTTTGTACAACCATGCCCTTCTATTCCAGTTGCAATATTTGTTACCTAATTCCTGGTGTTATCACTATCCTTTTGCCCATTTTTTTCTTTCCCAGATCACACCACTAATGGCTAGGCCACTGGTACTACCTCCATGGCTTGCAAAGAGCCACACTTGTAATTACCATCAATCTAAAGAACCATGTTTACTTTAATCTTTGGCTTGCAGTTTAGCCATTCCCTTGGCAGTGGCTGTTTCAAGGTGGGAACTACCTACCAACCAGAACCCCTTTGGGCAAGGGTCTTGCCCACTTTCCGGAAATATGGGTCAAGAGCCAGTTTGGTGTAGTGGTTAGGAGCGCGGACTCTAATCTGGAAGAACCAGGTTTGATTCCCCACTCCTCCACATGTGGCTGCTAGTGTGACCTTGGGTCAGTCATAAGTTCTCC